CTTTGGCTTAGAACTTTTTAAAAATGTGAAACATCAAAGATAGGGTTGAGGTTCTCTTCTTAAGGCTTCTAATTCCATTCTTGCTCCTTGGGGACAGATACTGCTATCAGTGTGCAATTAAGGATAAAGTTTCCTGGGCATACTTTGAACATTGCACTCCATGTGCACATTTCCACCTAGATTGCCTTATGAGTTTTTGAGATTTACTTAAATGATAATTTTCTATATGTTGCATTTTGTCACAAAGTATTTTTCAAATGACATCATGTTTTCCACATCTGTCAATACTGATACCTGTAACCCTAGTTTCCTCATTTTAACTAATAAGTAGTATTTCATGAGCATAAATAGAACACAGCTTAGATATTCTTTTATTGGTAAGAATTTTGGTTGTAATTTTTGTTACAAAGTTTACAATAAGTATTTGGACATGTGTCCCTGTGGTCATGTGTAGGAGTTTCTTTGTGGTATATTTCTAGGTATAGAGACTTGGCAACTAATTATGTGGATTTTCAACTTTACTACATATTGCAAAGTACTTATACCAGTTTACCACTTATTGCAAAGGATTGTACCAATACATACTCTCACCTACTGTAAAATGAAATGGTATCTCATTGTGGGATTTATTTGTATTTTCTATAGAACTGGTGACATTGAGCATCTTTTCAGGTTTTTCTTTTTAGTATTTATTGGCCATTATACCTATTTTTCAAAGATTGGCCTATTCTTTCCTTTTTTGTACTTTTTTCTCTTAGTTATTTTTTTCTTTGTGATTTGTAAATTACTCATTTATTCTGGACATTAACCTTTTGCCCATTACATTGGTTAAATTTTCTCTTTTGGTATGACCCTTAACAATTTTTTTTTTTCCTGAGACGGAGCCTTTCTCTGTCACCCAGGCTGGAATGCAGAGGTGTGAGCTCTGCTCACTGCAACCTCCGTCTCCTCAGTTCAAGCAATTCTCCTTCCTCAGCCTCCCGTGTAGCTGGGACTACAGGCACATGCCACCATGCCCGGGTAATTTTTGTATTTTTAGTATAGACAGGGTTTTGCCATGTTGGCCAGGCTGGTCTCGAACTCCTGACCTCAGGTGATCAGCCTGCCTTGGCCTCCCAAAGTGCTAGGATTACAGGCGTGAGCCACTGTGCTCGGCCTTAACTTTTGTTTATGGAGTTTTTGTTGAACAAAAATTTTTACCTGGGATACAAATATGTTCATTGGTATTTTCTATAAACTGGGCTTTTTTGGCTCCTTAAAGAAATCCTACCCAATCCAGATATCACAATATTTTTCTATTATTTTTGCAAGTTATAAGCTTTGCTTTAAACTTGCTTGTGTATAAGAAGGGATGTAATAATGTGAGGTAGCAATCTAATTTTATTAATTTACACGTAGTGAATTGCTCAACACCATTAATTGCATCATCCTTTCTTGCCCACCGATTAGTAATTTCACTTTATTTTTCAAGTTGATATATATAGGTGGATTTCTTTTTAGGATCTCCTTTCTCTTTCATTGATGTATATGGCAAATTGTTTGGAAAAATGGTCAGAACTTAGTGTGAAAAGAGTGGTAATGGCGGGTTAACAGCATTTGTCATATGATTTTACTCTTGAATCTATCAGTGTGGTAATTTAATTAATGGATTTCTCTAGTATCGAAGCATTCTTCTATTGTGTGGGTGTGTGTGTGTATGTGTGTGTGTATGTGCATGTGTGTTTAAATACCTTGCTGGAATGCATTGGTTAATATTAGGATATTTATGTCTTTGTTCAAATGATAGTACCAATAATTTTTCCTACTATTAGTCTCATTTGTTTGATATTGTTTACACTAGCCTCATAACTTAGATCTTACAATACCCACAGCAATGGTCTTAGTTTCAACCAGATGTTTAGATTCTAGATCTGAGTAGTTCACACCTGGCACCAGGATAAACAGAAGGATGCAGGCATCCCTTTTTGGTGATAGTCCTTGTAACAGCTCACACAGCAGTCTATCGTCTAGTCTCAGATCACACAAATGACAGCTCAGGTGCAAGGGAAAAAGACCACACAAGTGGATTTCAGAGCCATCATGTCTTAAATCCCCCACCTAAAATAAGATCCGGTATAGCTGTAACCGCTCCATGAACATAGTCTCTAGATCCCCACGAGGGATGTACCAAATTACCAAGTGGCTGCACACAGAAAGGTCAAAGCTGTAGGTTCCTACCAGGTATGTGTGGTCTGTCCACAACCCTCCTGGGAATGATGCAACTTACCCACCATAGAGCTTTCTAGTTTTTTCCTAACCATACGTTATGTTGCCTGGAACAGGGCTGACATTCCACTTTTATCGGGTGCCCAGGATTAATACTCAGCCAAATTTGTCCATCTGGAAAGAGAGGATTTTTTGGCTTTTGACCCTTACCCAGAGCTAGTGTACCTTTTTCTAGTTTCTAGAAAAGCTTGCATAAGACAGGAATTGTCTATTCCAAGAAGGTTTGGTAAAATCTGCCTGTGAAATTATCTTATGCTGTTGCTTTTCGGGAGTGAGCAGATTGTTGACTACCAACTTAATTTACTGAATGGTCAATTCAGCCTTTCTATTTTTGTTGAGTCAATTTTATGAATTTTAATTTTTCCAAAAATATGAATTCCCTTCAAGTTATCAAAATTATTGTCATAATACTGTTTGCAGCATTGTTTAATGATTGTTAAAATTTTTCCTGAAGCTTCAGTTATATTTTCTTTGTTGGTCTTAGTATTGTTTGATTCGTCTCTTTTTTCTTGAGCCATGTTATCAGAGAGCTGTTTTATCAGTGAACTACCTTTTTAAAAATAAACATCTTTATGATGTCCTTGTTTTCTATTTAACTGCTTTTTGATTTTAACTTTAAGTTTCATTCAGTTAATTCTATTTTTTTCCCAGCTTTTCAGTTAAATATGTAACTTTTAATGGTTTAATTTTTTTTCCAATATATACATTTAAGACAACATATTTCCCTCCAAGTATCCTTTAAGTTGCATTACTCAAGTTTTAATGCATAACGCCTGCCTTTATCATTCACTTCTAAATTCCCATTATGCTTTCTACTTTAACTCATGAATTATTAATAGTGCTTTTTCAATTTCTAAACATATGTTTTGTTTCTTTGCATAACTCCACTCAAGTAAGGTGTTAGCAGCCTATTCTCTTTTACAGCAATAAAATAAAAGGTTTCCAGAAAAAAAAAAATTATGGTGGAGGCCACAAATACATTGAGTTTATCTTACAGAACAAAAAGAAATAACTTTATTTCATAGATCAAGCATACAACTGCATAGAACAATGTTTGTTTACTAAGTTTATTCTACTTTTTAATGGATATGTTATCATTCAGCCAAGGTTTAGTTACTACACAAAATATGTAAGGAATACAGTTGGTTCTGAGGATGCACTTTATTGGAGAAACAAAACAAATATGTGAACAACTCTGTGATGGGTCCAACAGAGTCTATGGAATAGAAAAGGAATGCCCAGCCCAGAGATGAGTGGGAAATGAGGAGGGTCCACAGAGGCTTCTAGGAGAGGATGGACGGGCTGCGCCTTGAGGAGGAAACAGGAGTCTACCCAGAGAGTGGAAAATGGTTATCCAGGCACGAGGATTAGCTGGGACAAATGTGTGGAGGAGGACAGAGTGGGTGGACTTGGCCATGATACAATAATGGCTTGAGTTCTGAGTCATTTCTTAGTGTCCAGGAATCATACCAGGAAAACAAGAGGATTAGAGGATTTGGATTAGGGTAGGCTCTTCCAGTGGTGGTTTGTATGTCGCATTTCACTTCTATCGGTAATCCTCCAGCCTGTCTAAGGAGGCACACTGCTCCCTTGCTGGTGGGCCCAGGTGGGTCTTCCTTACCGTCCTCGAAGGGATAACAAGAGCTGGTCAGTCGCAAAGCAGCTAAAATTGTTCAGCCGCCTCACATCTCCACAGGTGGAGAACAGAAACCATAGTGCACAGTGACCAGGCTCTCACAATGTGCCAGGCCCCGTGCTTGGCGCCCTACATGTGTTATCTCATTCAATTTTGGAGCGAGCTGGGGGCAAGTCCTGCTACCATGCTTCACATTACAGATGAGGAGATTGAGGGTTCGGGCTGTTAAATATTTGCCCAAGGCCACTGCCATGAGCTGAATCATCCATGGAAAATAATTTCCCAATTTGAGGTGAGAATTGTCCCCCTAGATTCTTGTGTTGAAGCCCTGTTACTTCATATGTTGATGGTTTCTGAAGGTGAGTTCTTTGGGAGATTAATAGGCTTAGATGAAGTGGTAAGGGTGGGGCCCTCATGATTGGATTAGGGCCCTTATGAGAAGAGAAACTAGATGGCTTGCTTCCCCTCTTTCTACTTTGTGAGGACATAGTAAGAAGGCAGCCATCTGTCTGCATGCCAGAAAGAGAGCCCTCGCTGGGGAAGTGAATTGGTTGGCAGCTTGATCTTAACCCTCAGGGTTGTGAGAAATACATCTCTGTTGTTTCAGTCACACAGTCTAGGTGTTTTGTTGTGGCAGCCTGAGCTGACTAATACATTTTTACAGCTATTAGGTTGGGGCAAAAGTAGTTGCCGTCTTTGCCATTGAAAGCAATGGCAAAACCCGTGATTATTTTTTCACTAACCTAATAGAAAGTAGCCGAGATAGGATTCAGTCTCTTCAGGCCCAATACAAGAGCCCATGTCTCCCTCTTTGTCTCACTGGAAAATAAGAGCATGGGCTCGATTTGTGGGCCTCGCACAGGTAATAATGCACGCTCTTGAGCAATTCTGAACATTGCCCGAAGCTCTGCAGCAGGTGTGTGTATACAGCATGGTCTCACAGGTGAGCAAAAGCCACAGCCAGCTCACTATGCAATTTGTCAGGTAGGACGCTCTCAGTTAACAGTAACAGAAAAGCCAAAAAAACATGACTTAAACAATAGTGTTTTATTTGCTTTCTTTTTTTTTTTTTTCAACAATAAGCTGCCCAGAAGCAGGTGGTCCCAGTACTGACTCAGCCAGTATTGACTGAGCAGCTTGACAATGTCATCAAGGACTCAAGTATTCTCCTGTCTCGGAGCCATCTTTCCTGGTGTATAAATCATATCACCATGCATGGTCCCAAGATAGCAGCGACAAAAGCAAAAGGGAGGCACAAGTGCTTTGGCTTTTTGTGTGTGTGTGTTTTTAAAATATATTTTTATCATGGAGTGAAGAGGAATATTTTCTAGAAGTCTCCTCTAAACACAGGAAACTTCTCTTTATGTCTCATTGGCTCAAACAGATTCACATAGGCAAGCTGTAGAGTAAGGGCCCAGTATTTTTATTCCCATCATTGGAAGAAGGGGGGTCTGCTAGGGACAAAGAAGAGGGAGGAGAATTGTTGTTGGCAACCAACTGCGTCTGCCACAGAAGCTCAATTTAATAGACTGTTTTATTGCTGTTTTCTGCTTTCCACTTATTGTCTGTTGATTTATACACATCTGTGATTAATTTAGGAAGCGAAAAAATTACTTATTACTCTTTAAGAAACAAAATTTGTTTGACAGAAACACTCTCAAAGCTGAGAGTCAATCATTTATTTGAAATGCAAAAAAACCATTTACTAAGAACCTACTTGATACCACGCTAGGTACTGTAGACAGAGAGATGAAAATAATTTTTCATATAGATAATAATAATGGGTTCCTTTGTGGTAGAAGAATTACAACAACCTCTTACTTTATTAGTGCTCTTCACCTCTAGGGATGACAGATCAGTACTTATTCTAAACCGTTGCATTCTCCCCATTCTGCCTCAGACAAGACATGAGCTGGAAAGACTAAAATGTGGGGCAATGCACACATGCAGGATTTATCTCCAGGGAATTTATGAGCCAAAGCAGACAAACACCGTGAGGTTGAATTCTAAGAAACATCACATTTGCTGGTTTATTTCACAGCAAGTCCCAAATTTCATAGGTCATAGCATCCTGGGTTTCCCATGGGAGGATCTACATAATTTTAAGACTTCTCCTTGTCTTCCCAGAGTTTACACTTCGTGCAGGAAGTGGAGTCCCACACCTGTGATCCCCTGACAACAGTCCAGGTCCTAGGTATCACGAGCGATTCAAGCAGAAGGAGTGGTTCCTAGAGGAGCAAGCTGGCCTTGCAAGGCCTGGGAACGGTGTGGGCAGAGCAGGGGGTCAGGCCCTTTCACCTGAGAGCTGGCTGCAAACAAGGCTTAGAGAGGAGAATGAACAACAGCAACAACAGTAACAGTAAAAACTGCTCTGTAAGAGCACTCAGTATGAGTTCCACACTAAATTATTTAACCCTTACTTCAACCTTGTAAGGCAACTAAGGTACAGAAAGATTTAGAAGCTTACTAGAAAGCAAGAGAAATGGGTTTTAAGCCATCATTTACCTGCCTGCAGAACTTTAACCAACACATTGGGATAACATGAGTGCACCTGTTGGCCCAGAATGGACTGTTCACATACATGTGGTGGAAGTTATGCAAGGAAAAGAATTTGGGCCAGATTGTCATTTATTTGAGGGATGGCCATGAACTTCTTGAGAGTAGACATTGTGTTTCATTCAATGTTTATTCCTAATGCCTGGTATATAACAGGTGACTGATAGGTGTTTATGAATGAATGAATGGACGGAAAGATGTATACAATTCAGATCAATGGAAAGTCAAATTATGGAGTTTGGACTTCAACCTTTGGTTAATGGGGAGTCAGGAAAGTTTCTTGAGCAAGAGACAGGAGAACAGCACTGTTTCAGGATTGAGTTGGCAGTAATGTGTAAAATTTTCATTCCCATGTCCTATAAGGCACAGCTGATTTGATTGCATTCCACGTGGGGAGTCCTGGGTCATCCCAGCCAGCTCTGCCTAGGTTGATGATCTGGGCCTGCAGGTCCAAAGAGGTAAGAGGAATCTGGAGTAGGCAATAGGGAAATTTGGGAGGCAAAGAGTGTAGCCAAACTCATCCTCCTCTGATATCTTTCCTGCCTGCCATACACGAGTCCACCCAGACCCCCCTGATGGCATTTACTTGGGGACGCTCTCCTGGTCCCAACTCCCATTTACCACCTGAGTCTCCCATTTGCCACCACTCTCATGCATTTCCTGCCTGCCATGCATGGGTCCATCCATACCCCTCTAATGGTATTGCCTTGGGAACTCTTGGTCCCAACTCCCATTTGCCATCTGGGTCTAGTGGCTTCACTGTAAATTCCCTTCAGATCTAGCTCTTGCCCCCCTGCCTGTTCCCTGGGCTTAGCCCTTTAAACTCCTCCCTATTCCTCACACAATCTTAGCCTCTTCTTCTGAAAGGTTGTCTTTGTTTTGTTCGAAGCATTCCCACAGTTGTGAAATGTGTGCCTTCTCCTTTGCCCTGGCCTGGCTGTCAGAAACAATGATAGGACTCTTAATGTCTTGGTGCTTTAAAACGGATATGGATATTTTATTTGCTTGCTTTTTTATATTACCTTTGAAGTCTTGAAAGACAGGTGCCCTCTTCTCACATTTTATTCAGATTGCCATTAGTAATAAAATACAACTTTATTTTATATCTTTGAATGTAATCTATTTTATTCTAATTTTTTGCTTTCTTAAGAGTTTACAGACATTTCTATCACTGGCTTCCATAATAAAGACCCAAATTAGGATGCACTCGTGGAATGGAAACACACACACACACACACACACACACACACACACACACACACAGAGGCTTTAATTTATCATTTAGTCCTGATTCTGCAGTTGAGGGCAAAGGAGCATGACTTTTGAGAGTGCCAAGGTGTATGTAATTTTTGAAGGCAATGTACAAATTAAAAATAAGTTGCCAGCCTTCATGAGTTTTCACATGTTCAGACACTTTTGATTGTGGGCAGTCAGGTGTATTCAGTGTTTCAGTGAGGCATGGAAGATGGATGGAAGAGAAAACATGGGGTTGTTAGCAAGGCCAGTGTTTGAGGAGCTAAGAAAATTCTCATTTTCTTAAATTGGTAAAGTTATTGGCAACATTTTGCTTCCAGAAAAGGAAGATGAGGAAGCTAACATTTCTTGAGCAGGTACTGTGACAAACTAATTTGCCTGCAAATTCAAAGTTCCAGGGAATCTGTCCTATTCTTTCTTTTCCTCTCAGAGCCTCCACACATGTGAAGGCCTCCTTCACAGGGAGCTGGAAGTTATCCTTCTATAGCATCAGCCCCCTGGCCAGTACCAGAATAGGGTTGCAGGGGCAAAGACAAGCCAGTGTCCTAGAAAGAGGCAGACATCAAAAGCAACTAAGTCAGGTTGGTCCTCATGATCACCCCACCTTCTACCCCACCCACCATCCAGATGTACCTGGCCTTGCCTGAGAGATTTCAGTGGGCCAGGGTCCGAGCAGGGGCAGCTGCTCAGAATCTGATTAAAGACTGGGCTTTGTTCAGCTAATCGAGGTACAGGGTATGTAAATGGTTGAGATATGGAGTAGAGGCAAGGGTTTCAGACAATAGGGGAAGGAGAGAGAGAGAGGACAGCTGCTTTAGGAAAGGGAAATTTGAGGAAAAAAATGCTTAAGGAAGAAATTCAGACATTTGGGCATTGATGTATGTGATTTATTGTTATTCTTTGTAACATTAAATAGCCTTCAGGAAGAATATTTTTGAAGAAATCTACCTCTCTCTTCCAGGATTTAGGAGTTGATGTATGATGTGGCAGAAAGGGGGTAGTTTGGAGGATGTGTATGTGTGTGCTTGTGAGTGTGTTGGTTTGTGTTTTGATGCTTATGTATTGAGAACAGACTTAAGTATACACTGGGGCAACCCAAGAGGTTTTAGCTAATCCAGGTTACAGCATTCTGCAGAGCTTAGAGTCCTTTAAAATGGCACAGGATGAAGGTGGTCAATGGAAAGCCATAACTTCCTCATCCTACTGTACCCAATTCTGAGGACTCTGTTCCTAAACACCTTCTTGGATGGGAATCCCAGGGCAACAATGAAAGTTCCTGACAGGAGGGTATGAGGGTGCTGATAACAAGGTGACCGTAAAGATTCTGACAAATATTTGTCACATGCCTTTAAAAAATGGGGGACAGGACACTCACTAAATAGAGAAAATGCAAGGGATGTTTCTCACATTCTAAGTGAATGATAAGGGATATTGTACAACTGATAACCATTTGCCATTTCTTATTCCTAAGTAATTTTTGTTCCCTGGAGCTTGAAAGAGATGCTTGACAAGGTTTTGTAAAATGCAGGTTGAAAAAGCACAGCTTGCAGAGTGATTAAAATGCATCTTTATTGTGCTCTCCTGCCATCTCTTTAATATGTATTCAACCTTCTCCTGCCCCTGGATGAAAATAAGGCAAGTCCATGACTTGTCTGGTGACTCAGGTAACTGGCAGTTCTACAGTCATTTTAAGTCTCCACCACTGCCTTGTTTCAGTAATTGAGTGCTCAAAGATATTAGCCCAATATCTCAACCAGATTTGATAGTGAGCCTTCCTCCTTTCCCCACATCAGATGTCTTTAGGCTAAAAGCCCGTGGAGGGAACGGTGGAGATTTGGGGATTCGCTTCTCTGTTTTTCAATTTTTGCTTCCATAGTCCCCTGAATCCAAGCTTCTCAGCACCTTCTGACTGCTTGAGGATTGGAGGGGAGGGAGAAGAAGTAAGAGAACAGGACAAGTTCCTTGCAGATACCACCATCATCAGCGACCCTAGTACCCGAGGACCTGGTGGAGGCCTGGGCATTCTCGAGCACTTCATGAATCCTACCATGGGACACCCCTGACATTCCCCCAACCCAGATGGAAGCAGCTTGACTTGAGTGGTGCTTCACCTCCTTCTCAGATTCTAGGAATCCAGGTTTTTCATGACGGATCCTACCCCTACTTGAGGCAGCCCTATTAATTGGAATGTCCCCATCCTGGCTTTCTCTCAACCCATCTCCGTCCCATACTGACTCATTGAAAACATTCCCATGTTCCTTGCTCCAAAAAACAGTGGATCCCCAAGCAGCAGGTGCCCTGGGTTTTACCCCCAAAATGGCACATCGGCCCTCCTCCACCCACTGCATTTCCTGGTTAGGAGTTAGATCGCAATTGCAGGGAACACATTCCAAAGCTATTGGGGTGACCCCACGGAAGACTCACCACACTTGAGGTGACACCCATAAATATAATTGCATCTCTGAGGAAATCTCCTCAGCAATTTTCCTTCTTTCATTCACTTAACAGTCTTTAAAACCACAACAAGGCCTGGATACGATGGCTCACAGCTGTAATCCCAGCACTTTGGGAGGCCAAGGTGGGCAGATCACTTGAGGTCAGGAGTTTGAGACCAGCCTGGCCAACATGGTGAAATCCCGTCTCTACTAAAAATTCAAAAATTAGCTGGGTGTGGTGGTGCTTGCCTGTAATCCCAGCTACTTGGGATGCTGAGGCAGGAGAATTGCTTGAACCCGGGAGATGAAGGTTGCAGTGAGTCCAGGTCGCACCACTGCACTCCAGCCTGGGTGACAGAGCGAGACTGCCTTAAAAAAAAAAAAGAAAAAGAAAAAGAAAAAAGGAAAAGAAAAGAAAAGAAAAAAAAAACCACAATGAGGAACTACTGCTTGGGCAGGTCCTCTGACATTTCCTTCATAAATTCCACATGTGGAGACCTGGATTTGAACCTCTCATCTGTTACCTCCTGGTGCTTATCATGAGGCTTACCATGAGCCTTCAGTTTCAACATTCTGTTACAAATTTGATTCAAGATTATTTGTGTGCCAAGAGAAACTTTAATTTTTTCTCTCTTTGGTTTCCCATCCAAATGTTCTGTGCCTTTGTGATTTTATGACTCAGACTCTAAGACACACTAAGTCACAAGATGGAATGACTCACACCTGGTCTGTACTCTCTCTAAAGCTCTAAAAACAGGATGGCTATATTGAACTAAGTCTGAGAATTCTAGAATTCTAGGTAAAAAAGATTTAGAATGGAGGTGGTTTTTTATACTAAGAATTAAAGGAAGAGACCTCTGCATTATTCTGGGAATATGGTAGCTATAACCAGGTAAAAGTACCTAAAAAGTGAAGGTGAGATAGGGTAACATCTATTTGGGCACCTACTATATCCTAAAGTGAATTGCTGTGTGCCTCATATAATTAATTATCATTTAATTATTAAGATTATCATTTAATCTTTAAAACAAACATGCTTGTCCCCTAGCTAGCCTTCATTAAACACCCCCATCCCCAAACTTATTGCTGAGGATATTTTAAAGAATTAAAGTTAAGTTGTAAATGTTTGCTTTACTTCCTGTGCTTCCACGTCATCAACCCTCTCCTGATGACCCAGATTTGGGCACCAGAAGAATGGAAGAGCTGTTGGGGTAATGTGGATGTAAGCAATCTAGGAGGAGTCCCCTTTCAAATCACAGCATTTGCTCAGCCTGGATCATGGCAGAGACCATTAATTACGTCCCTCTTACCTTTTCCAAATAAAGCATATTTTAAGTTAGTCAAGTGGACAATCTGGAAATCAAGTTAGTTTTAACATATTTAATTCTGGCAGCTCTATTGAGTGCCTGCAGTGCTGGCCAGGAGCTGAGTGTCAGGAGGGATTAAGGATAGGAGTCTCTTATCTGTAGTCCTGCCCTCCAGGCATTCATCTGAAGCGGAGCAAACAATGCTCACATGGGTCCCTGAGATCCAGGTATGACAAAGGCCCTTGTGAGGGTAGGTGCCTAGAGCAACATGGGCCCAGAGGAGGAAGCTGCTGGGGAGAGGTTGGAAGAGAGATTCACCAAGGGGAGCTTGCAGTTGGAGAAGAGGTGGGGATTCAGAATCCAGGATTGTACACAAGGGTTTGTGTATGAGGGTTCTGTGCTCACTTTCCAATTATTCCTGAACTAGCCAAAGGCACAAAAGGGAAAGGCAGAGAGTTGCCACCAGGGAAACACATCCCCTTGTGTCTCAGGGACTTGGGCATTAATTATCATGGCACAATGGAGAGGGTATGGAGTGTTTAAACACCTTGATCTTAGCTTTTACTCTGATGCCAGTCTGTCTTGTGACCTCACACAAACACATTTTTTACTCTAAGCCTCCATTGTCCCCTGAGCTCTCAGCAACCTGCAAGGCAGGCAAGTCAGGATTTATCCTTCTCATCTTGTGCAGAAAACAAAACTCCGTGTCAGGGAATTGAGGAAGGAATGCTCTGATCTGAGCTTTGCAGTTGCCCTGCAAGGTGAGCTATCATCATCAGCCTCATTTCACAGGTAAAGCAACATACTAGAAAGACTAAGTTATTTTCCCCAAACTTGTGCAGCTGGCTTAGGTGAAAGCAGGTGTTTCCAGCCATGCTGGCCTGCCTCCAGACAGTGTGTTCTTCCACTTCTGCTCACACATTTGGAGCACAAAACCTGGGGTGTGATTTTCAGAAAACGTGAAACATCACCTGTTCTAGAATGAAGACTTGTCATGCTTTAAAAAAATCCGTAAGGCATTCTGCCTCCTGTAGCTAATCGCCAGCTCTGAGGCCATGTCAAGAGTGGAGTAACATGGAAAAGACCATTGAACTTTGTGTCCCCATGCCTTTAAGAAACCATTTTTTCCCTTTCTAAAGCAAATTAAATATGCCATCAGTGAAGCCTAATTTAATAACCCTTTGAAAATGAAGCTCTGGCCCTCATTAAAGTGAAAGCCACTCATTACCTTGTCTGTCATCATCTGGGGAAGTGTCCTGTGACCTACCATATCCTGATTCACCCCAAAGCCTACAATCAAAGCCATCTTGTGCTATTATTCTTCCAAACTCTTTCTTCTTCAAATACTATTGCATTTATAAAATCTTGAGTAAAATGACTTTGATCTAGTATCCCAATATAGAAAAACATCATTAATTTAGGTGTCATTAATTCATACAATGTGGAAATCTGAGCTTTAAAGTGAACTGCATTTGCTTTTCTACTTTGTAGTTTTCTAAAAGCCTAATGCTTGCAGTTACATGAACTCGTTTCTTTTCTATCAAGTTCTGCTGGCACTTATTCCCAACTTTCCTTCAGATTGGCCCCTCTTATCTCCCTCTTTATAGTTTCCTCAATAGTTCTGGCCACAATTGTGGTTCAGTTGCCCCAGGCTCTAATTTTTCCAGGCCTGAATCAAGTCTACATAGAACAGTGGGGTGATTTGCAGAAAGACCACATCTGCTCCTCACGCATCTCTGGGACCCTCCACTCTCTGGTGTCTACAGGTTGAAGTCTAATCCATCCCCTTTTCCAGGTTTTCAAGACCCTTTATATTTCATACATGCTCCTCTTCTCTATACCCCTAACTCTTCACTATTATCCTTACTTGAACTCCACTCAAAACATATTCACCATCATACTTTCCCAAGATGACTTACTTTTTCTCATCCTGCATATCCGCTCATGTTGTTCCTTTTGACTAAAATTTTTCTTCTCTCCCACCTCTGAGAGACTGCTATTCGTATTCTGGCTGGCCTCTGTTCATATTCAGGGCAATCTCAGAACTGAACCGTAAAATCCTCTAGGAAGATTTGCCTGACCTCTTAGTCCTGAAGAGGAAAGGTTCCTTTGTGTTCTCATGGTGTCTCATACTTCCCTGTTGTTGACCAATCACTCTGAACTATTGCTGCCTATTAATTTGTCTATATCCCTTATGAGACCATGAGCCTACGAGATTGGAATCACCCAGGTATCCTCAGAAAAATATCTGGTGCATGCAGGTTCTCAGTCAACATTATATGAATAAACAAACAAACAATTGAAGATAAGCATGTTGATGATGAACACTGCATGCAAGGAAACCACAGCTCAGTTTTAGTGATTTTAGTGATTTAACCCAACCAATTTATATTTTTCCTTCACACTATACTTGATCCATCTCGGTGTCTCCAACTGCACCAGAATAGTGCCTTGGGCACACTACGTGCTCAATGTGTTTGGATGAATGATAGTGTGGGCCATGCTGGCTCTGGCTATGACCAGGTGGTTTTCTAGGGAACTGAACCCAGTGTGGCCAGGAAGCTGGCAGAGGGAGAGCTCAGTAGTCCCAGTGATCTAAAAGTGAGTCCCACCACGTCCGTTTTTGTCCTCTCCTCTGTAGTCACCTCAAGAAGGATTGGGAGGAAGTAAAAACAGCTGAGTGATCCCATTAACAACCAATAACCTGGGAATGCTGCTGAATTCGTTTGAAACTGAACTAGCAGTAACTCCCTATGGGTCCATTAACCTGCAGCCGGAATTAGATTATGTAGAAATAACATTAAATAAAGAGCCACAGTGCTCAGTTAATTGAGGGGCAAACTTGTAAATTATAAGATCACTCTCTTTGAAAGGCAGACTATTCCATCACCTCAAGACCCTTGGGAGCACTCACAAGTGTCCAGTTTGGGGTTCATTTTAGAGAAAACACATTTTCTGTAGAGGCACTTTAGAAATCTATTTGTTGTAGAAACAGTTTGAAATGAACAAAAAACATTACAAGCTTTGGAGTGAAACCGAGGTGAGGTAGATTTAAATCTTAGCTCTATTACACACTAGCTCTGTGACCTTAGGGAAGAGACTTAATTTCCCTGAGCCCCAACAGCTTTGCCTCTTAACTGGGGGCGATGGTGGTAATAATACGTATCTCCCAGTCTTGTGACGGAGGCAGGCACATCTAAATATCATTGCAATACAAGGAGAGAACACATTGGGGGATGGTGTTATGGAAGCAACAAGGAGAACCTCACCTGACCGAGAGAGCGAAGAATGGTGCCTCAAAGAGATGCCAGCTGAGCTGAATCCTAGAGCATGAGCAGGTGCAACTGGATTAAGGGTGGGCCACTAGTACTTGCCTTGGAGACCGTCTAGGTTTTGATCACTAAGAATACAAAGAGATGGAGGTCAATTTACGAATCAGAACTCCTTGAGGGTGGGGAGTTTACCCTGTGTGACTGAAGAAAGAGCGTTAATAATGTGCTCACACTGAGGGACAAGTGTGAATAACTATGGCTGGTTTCCAGACTGCCTTGACTTAGTTTTGCACACATTTGAGTCCAGAAGAGACTCACTAGGTCTCGGCATAGTGAAACCAGGGTCTCCTGGTTATTGAATGCCCCTCAGAGATCTCTCTAAACAAACACTGTACAAATTTGTAAAGAATAACACTTCGAAAAAGAGCAGTAGCAGTCCTTTGGCCAGGTGCGGTGGCTCACTCCTGTAATCCCAGTACTTTGGGAGGCCGAGGCGGGTGGATCACCTGAGGTCAGGAGTTCGAGACCAGCCTGGCCAACATGGTGAAACACTGTCTCTAATAAAAATACAAAACTTAGCCAGGTGTGGTGACAGGTGCCTATAATTCCAGCTACTTGGGAGGCTGAGGCTCGATAATTGCTTGAACCCAGGAGGCGGAGGCTGCAGTGAGCCAAGATCATGCCATTGTACTCCAGCCTGGGTGACAAGATCAAAACTCCATCTCAAAAAAAAAAAAAAGAGGAAATGAGCCAAACTATGGGTCTGGAGGAAGGTTGCCCAGCTACATGAGAAACAAAAGTTGCAGCTCTCTGGGCTCAGGCCTCTGGAACTGCGATCATGTCCATCGCCACTTCAGGACAGCAACCGGCTCAAGACAGCTGCCTGGCCTTACTGGTGGTCTCTTCTATAGCCAAGTGCTCCCAGTCTCTTCAATCATAGGACTTGATTTGGAAACCCATCACCTCCCTGCCTGCCCTGATCTGGCTGTCAGGTTATCAGGGCTCCTCTCTCCTCTCTGGCATAGCCCAGAACTGAGTACAGCGGACCAACAGGTGAGACTGGCCCAGAAGAGCATGGGGTATCCCGTGTTTCCAATGGGATGCCGTGCCCCTCTTCATGGTGTCTAACTTTGTAGTTCCCCCAGGACTTCACTCACACTCTGAGTACATAGAGGACCAGAAGGGGAAGTGGCATGTTTTAGTGGAAAAGACAGGCTGTGACTCAAAATCCATTTAACCTTGGGTAAGGCACTTGACCGTTCTCAGCCTCAGCCTCCTAACTTTTACTTACCTGTAAAATAAGAGTTGTTGTGAGAATTAAATGACAGAGCATGAAAAAACTTGACCTTACCTAATGCACTGGATCAGCTCAAGAAATGGTAGGCTTCTTTACCTCTTCTCCTTCCTTTCCTGCCTCCCTTCCTCCCACTCCTTCCTTCCTTCCTGTCTTCCTCCAGCCATGTCTCCCTCCCTCCCTCCCTTCCTTCTCTCCCCCAAGCCTCCATATTTATTTCCTTCCTACTAAAATTTTCTTCCACCTTCCCTCTCATCCAGGCCTCAATGAGGACAGCTCTCAGTGGTCACTCTCTTGGGCTTGAAATGGAACAGATCTTCTTGTTGCATCTCTTTTGGATAGCGCCAGTTCCTGCTGGGGACAGAACATTGTCTTCTTTTCTCCCTGCCTCAGGCAGATGGCAGGGAGTGTTGTGTGTTCCCACAAAGGAGCATGCTGTCCCCGCTCCCGAGTCTCTCAGCGAGCCCTGTCATGGAAGGCATCCAGGAGAAAGAATGTGGAACTCCGCACCTGCTTTCTCAGCACACAGGAGCATTCACGACCCTCCAAATCACACCGTTGAGAGGTGCCACAGGAAGGGCCCCATGTTTGAATGGTCTGTGCACTAGGGACCGAAACCCTGACCCTGAGGACAAGCCTGTGGTGGGTGAGAAGTCCTGGATGTTGCACGCTGTGTTTCAGCTGACAGGGGTGGCAGGACTGATTGTCATTATCCCTACTTTACAGGCAAAAACTGAAGCTCACACGGGCTTAGCAATTTTCCCCAAATTACACAGTAGTTAGGAGGTAGGCACAGGTTGCATGCCTGGTCTTGGGAATCCAAGTTCAATGCTCTTTCATTATGATGTTTTGCCTCTGTATATTAAAAAAAAATACATGAATTTTCAACTGAATGTAGGTAAATAACCCAAGAATTTAATTATATTTTTCCTTCTGGTTCTGGCTTTGGGTTAGCTTCTACTTGAGAATCAACCTCTACCTACAACAACTGTTTCTTCCTTTCTGACATTCTACATTCTTTTTTTTTTTTTGAGACTGGGTCTCACCGTGTCACCCAGGCTGGAGTGCAATGGCTCACTGCAACCTCTGCCTGCTGGGCTCAAGTGATCCTCCCACCTCAGTGTCCCAAGTAACTGGGACTACAGGCATGCACCACCATGTCTGGCTAATTTTTTCTTTTGGGGTAGAGATGGGGTTTCACTATGTTTCCCAGGCTGGTCTTAAACTCCTAGAAGGAAGCAGTCCTCCTACCTCAGCCTCCCAAAATGCTGAGATTATAGGCACAAGCCATCATACCCAGTCACATTCTACATCTTTGCTGGGGGCTGCACTATGGACCCATTATTTATGCAAAATCTGGCAGTCATCCTGAACTCTTGCTACTCCTAACCCGCACCCTACTACCCAACCAACGCTCTCCTTGCCACATACAATCAATGCCAGGACCCGTACCTTTGACTTAACAATACCTCTTGCATCTGCCCCTCCTCCCTGTACCAACTGCGCCCCCATCCACTGCTCTGCCCCAGGCTCTTCCTCAGCCAGTAAAGTGCAATGACCTCGAACTGTTTGCCTTTTTGAGGTGTTTTCTGTAAATCTATGCTCCATGCATTGGTGGGAAGACCTTTCAACACCACAATGGATATGTTCAATGGCCACTCAGTTCCTCAAGGAAGCAACTGTTTATGAGAAAAATGTTTCTGAGCCAGGCATGGTGCCACAATCTTTGCACGCAATAACTCTAAGTCACAAAGTAACTCTACAAAGGAAGCTTTGTTATCCCAGTTTCACAGCTGGAAGGTAGCAGAGCTAGACCTCCAACACAGATCTGTCTGACTGCACAACAGTGCTCTCTTCATACCCCACACAGCCTCCCAGATAAAATCTTGTCTCCTTAGTATCAGTTGCAGCCCCAGCCTCCTGCCTCCAGACACCCCTCATGCCCTGCTCTCCAGACACATTCCCCCTTCCTGAAGTTCACTCATCTCCCCACATGGTTTTGTGTTCCATGGCTCCATTTGTGTTCTTCCCTCTGCCTGGGATGCCCTTCTCTGTCCAACTGTCCCTCCAAGCACCACTCAGCCGCAAGGCTAAGGTTAGAACCCAAGATTATGTCACTCCAATCTCTTCTCCTTTCCACCGTGGAGCCCTGCCTCCCACATGGACAATTTTCACTTCATTCTAGGTTACGATGCTGTAATTGGCATGGACCAGGATAGAGAAATGCCGCCGGGGAATGCTTCAGTTGGTAGTTAATATAAAGGGATAGGTCTCTGTTGGCTTCTTGTGGAAAATTATTTCAAGAGTTGATTTTTAAATGTAAAGGAAACAGGACTTTATTCCCTGGTCAGACTAATTACTGCACTCCTGTGTCATACTGATGAGATGGCTTCAGAAAACCAACAGTTCTCTCACTGAGCCACAGGTCAAGGGGTTCTGGGTGTTTTCACAGAAGGTTATTGCTTTCAAGGGGGTTATTGATGGGCTAGAGTGTGCGGTTTCTTGAGGAATAAAACTATCACAATTAATCTGTTTAGAATTTCTATATGGGGGGGGGTGTTATTTCTCAGCGGTGAATGACTCAAAGTACAACAGAATATTTGTGGTACATGTGCTCCGTGCTGTCAGGCTCATCAATACCAAGTTTGAAGACAAAAAAATAAAAGAAAATAAACAGGAGAAAAGAAGGCTTTTTAAAACAGTTATTAAGGATGAAAGTGCTGGCTGCTGACCTAGGCCTCTGTGAATTTAGAACCCAAGATGATCACAGCTGTGTGATGGGGCAGGACCCTGAGTGTGGGAGCTGGGCTCTGTCCCTCACTCGTGGGTAGATTATGAGATCTATATGGAGTCAGGTGACTTGAAGCTGGGTAGGGTCTGCAGCTGAGCTACTGGGGACTTTCTGGTGTCTGTTAGCCTCCCTGGGACCCACATTCATTTTCTGTAAAATGAGGGAATTGAGCCAATTCACTGTCTTCCTAACAATCACTGTTTTCTTGTAATCACACACCACGGTTCTCTTAAAGCTTTTCTTTCCAGTTTATTTAAATCAACCCTGTTTTAAGACTTTGTCATTTATGAAAGAATAATATCCATAAAATCATAGCTTTGATTTGCTAATTACATATTTTCTAACTCACACTGTGTCAGTCAGAGGGTCCTTGGTTGAAAACAATTGAAAATCTTCCAGCCATCTTAAGCAGAGGGAGATCTTATTGGAGAGATTCTCAGGGCTCAGGTAACTTTAGGAGGCTAGAAGATCAGGCTTGAAGACAGTAGGGATTGAAGTTGTCCTGGTTGACCAGACAGCAAAATCACTGCAGTGGTCCCGTAGCACGAGCACTCTGGTCTTTGCAAAGCACCACTGCCACACCGCTGTCACCGCAATGAATGTGGCTGTCAGACACCCATGTCACCATGTCATCTATCTGCTCAGAATTCAAAATCATGGGGACAGTGTCTGGTTGGCCAACCTCAAGTCACTCTTGCACCCTGCCTATCTTGTGACAGGTGTGAGGAGGATGAAAATCTGGTCCATTTGACTTCCATAGATGGCCAACGATTCTCAGGAGGACACAAAATGGGAGATTCTCCAATAGGGAGAACAAGGTGATAATGGGAGACAGATTGAATGGTGGCTAGTAAAAAAGTGAAAATAAAGAAAAAACTCCCAAAACAAAAAATAGGTATTTATTGCACTCATTAAAATAAACACACAATTATGAAAATAAAAAGTTTATCTGTGTACCATAACATCATAAACTTATGTATCAACCCCATATACCACTGTGTAGGAAGCACTGACCCATTGATCTCAAAGGATCCTACAGCTTTGGCCTTTATTGTACACTAGTGAATACTTCCATTTTGGAAAGTATAGACTCATTTGTATCTTTCTGTAAAACACTGACTTTGGCTCTTTTTGTTTGATTTGGTTGATGCTTCAGAATGTGTATAGAGTCATTCTTTTACTGTTTTAGGTTGACCATCCACTTCCACTTTATTTTTGATGTGTTCAGAATATCATGCACCCACACATCTTTGCATTTTACTAGGATAAGTAGCAAGCAGTTGAAAAAAAGAAGAACCTGAACCTTTCAAATGACCTTGATATCCTGCCATCTTTGGATCACAGTGTAGCTTTCTAGAATTCTCCAGGCCAAGTGAGGGAGTGTAAGTTCCCAATGTTCAAGATATAATCTTACACAAGAGTTCTAGAGACAACATGTTCTGCATAGGGCATCAGAAACATCCAACTAAGTCAAAGTTCATTCCACTCTTCCTAAATATGTATTTGGCACTTCCTATTAAACTACCCTAAACCTCATCAAATAAATGTTAGTTTTGGAAGAAATATTAGCAATAATCCTGTTCATTTGTATTGATAATGCAAGTGAGACTTCCAAGAGAAGGGTACACTGGACCTAGAATATTTTGTAATCCCTTCTGAAACCCATTATGGAAGTTCTAGTTCAAATAACAAATTACCTTCTTCTTCTCTAACAGATCCCATTTCTCCTGCCAGGGAAAACCATTCCACAGTTACCTGATACTTTATGCAGAAACATGAAATAAGATTCTTTCTGTAGATGGAATTCTGGCTCCACAGAAATTAAAGGCATCTAAATGCATAGTTCCTTATCCATAAATGATAAGTAATCCCCATGCTTGTGTATAAGTCATTCTTTTACATACACATGGTGAAGGGAGAAAATAAATGGCTCCAAATACTTGGATGTTTTGTTACAGAAGTTCATATTAAAGGTGAAAATCCAAAGTATAGTTGGGAAGAGAAAGATTAGCAGCTGATCTGTTAACTATCCTTTTTAAGCTGGATAATTTCAAGGACAGATGATGAAGAAGAATGAGAAGGAGAGTAGGAAGAAGGAGGAGGAAGAAGAAAAAGAAGAAGAAAAAAGGAAAGAAAGAAAGAAGAAAGAAAAAGAGAGAGAGAAAGAAAGAAGAAAGAAAAAGAGAGACAGAAAGAAAGAAAAAAAGAGAAAGAAGACAGAAAAAGAGAGGAAGAGAGAGAAGAAAGAAAGAAAAAGGAAAAGAAAGAAGAAAGAAGGAAAGAAAGAAAAAGAAAGAAGAAAGAAAGAAAGAGGAAGAGGAAGCAAAGGAGGAGGAGGAATAAGAAGAGAAAGAAGAGAAGCAGGAGGAAGAGGAGAAAGAGAAATTAGGGGAAAAAAAGGAGTTATCCTGGTCAAATATGGAAATATTCTATTCAAATTTCTGATGGTTTTTACTGATAGAATGATAATAAGAGAGTCCTTATTAATAGAATTCTTTCAGCAGGATATACTTAATCAATTGGTGTGGTAAACAAACCTGAAATTTATAGATTTCTGGGGCATGGCCTGCTAGAAAGTGTCAGTTTGGGGTATTTAATTATCAGAGTATAAAATGGATTTATTTCAGGCTTAAAAGTTCCCCTTGGGTCAGTGATGAACAATATGCATCACTTGGAAGCCCCATGTGTTGTACATCAGGGCACATTCTGATGTGATGCAAAAGGGCCCAAGATGCAGCACTGGTGGTCCAAGACTTCTCGTGCTTGATCTGCATGTTGCATAAAAGCAGAATAGCTTTTTTGTACTATTAGTAAAGTTTGATACTGAATAAGATTTCTAATTCTTATGAGTCTGATTTGATAATTCAACGCTTTGTGCAATCCTTTTTTTTTTTTTTTTTTTGAGACAGAATTTCACTCTTCTTGCTCAGGCTAGAGTGCAATGGTGTGATCTCGGCTCACTGCGACTTCTGCCTCCCAGGTTCAAGCGATTCTCCTACCTCAGCCTCATGAGTAGCTGGGATTACAGGTGCTCGCTACCACGCCCAGTTAATTTTGTATTTTTAGTACAGGTGGGGTTTCACGACGTTGGTCAGGCTGGTCTCGAACTCCTGACCTCAGGTGATCTGCCCGCCTCGGCCTCCTAAAGTGCTGGGATTACAGGTGTTAGCCACCGCACCCAACCTCTTTGTGCAATCTTAATAGCAAATGTGGTAGAAGGCAAACATGGTCACAAACTCTTGCCCTTCCTTGATTTCTTTGTCCCTTTTCCCCCACCATATCTCCTCTTCTACCTCTGGGCTCAGCCACATGGCTTGCCTGGGATGTTAGCCATTGTGACACAAGAGAGAACTGAAAAGCACTGCGCAATAGCGATTATTTTCTCTTGCTGCTGTTGGAACCCTGTAACATGTTAACGAAGCTTGACTAGCTGGTTGGAGGATGAGAGACCATATGGACAAGAGACAAGTACCTTAACTGAGGCCCCTCTAGACCACCAGCCCTGACAGCTGGTGGAGTCCCAAGAAAAAGGGACTCACTGGTCAATGTGCTAGAAGCCAATACTATGACACTAGATTCTGAGAAAAGAAAAGCTTTTTATTGCAAGTTGACTAACAAGGAGATAGGAATCCAGTTCTAATTGGTCTTCTTGGGCTGGCTTAAAGTCTGTAATTTGATGAGGAAAGGTTTAGGAGGTGGATTCTGAGATCAGTAGGTGATTGGTGGAAGGAAAGAGGAGGTATGGAAAGTCCTTGGGCATGAGCAGATTCTCATGGGTTATGTGCAGATTCAGGGGGAGTTAGTATGAAACATGTGGTGGAACTTCAGGCTGGGATGTCAGCAAGCTTGTTCTGTGCAGACTTCAGCTGGCTATATTAGTTCTAACTGATTTCAGCTAATTTTGTTATCTTACAGGAGGAGGGAGTTTCAGCATTTCGGCAAGTTGTTTCTTTTTCTTTATTTCTTTCTTTTTTTTTTTTTTTGTTTAATCTGCCATCCTCTAAACTCAAGAATTTTTGTTACTTACTGGTTTCTTTAACTCTTTGGGGCATGGTTTAAATGGGACATGACAGATGTATGAGTGAGTCAGCCCAGCCCAACTGCTGCCCTACAGAATCATGAGCTAAATAAATGGTTGCTTTAAGCTATTACATTTTGGGAGTGCTTTGTTACAAAGAAAAAGCCAACTGATATAGTATATTTAAAATCCACTGTGGCCAGATTCTATCCTTCTTCTCACAACCCTCCCACTCCTCCTGCTTGTTCCTCCTCTTTCTATTTGGGGTCAGGGCTCACAAACTGGTGTCTAAGTGTCGGCCACTGTGTCCCATCAAAAAATAATGTTTGAGCCAAGATTCACTGCAAAGACCATACTTGTTGATTATGCTCAGTGTACATCTGATTTTTCAGGGCTCCTGCCATACTAACTGCTGAATATTTTCAGCATCAGCTCTGGTCCTGTGAACCAGTTTTGTTTTATTCACAAAGTATAAATCAGAAGATTTTCCATGGAAATCTGGATTTATGGCTTCTCTAAAAAAGGGAATAGGGAAGGTCTGGGAATGTTGGACTAGGATTGGGCAGGAATGACCTGGAGCTGAGAATAGACTACTCATCATCCAGACAGCACTCGCGCTGCCAGTTCATCACTGTCCCATCATCCCTGGGTGTAGTATGCTTGTCTTGTTTCACCTATGCACGTTACCTGCCTGACCTTAGAGGAAGTTGGTTGTGTGCATGACACATTGGCTAGCATTGCTTTGAGGGTGTAACCATGTACTGTCATGTTTTTACACATTTTGGTCTCATTGCGTGGAATGTCCATCTCCTTCTTGGACACTTTACTGAACCTCTGCAAATTCTTCAAAATTTAACTTAAATGCCTCCTGTTTTATGACATATGCTTTATTTCTCTCAATAAGGCTGATTCACCTTCCTCTGTGTTCCATATGACTTTGCACATAATCTCTCCTAGAGCATTAACATTTTATCCATCAGCATTGTTTAAAAGCTGCTTGAACAACTATCATGTGATCTCCTTGAACACAGGACTACCCTCTTCCCCTACTTACCCTTGGGTAGGGCATATGGCAGGGCCCCTAATACCTGTGACGGATTAAGGAATCAATAAACTAGACATTCTGGCTGAACTTCAGAGAGTAAATTTAATGCCATTTGCATTTTGTGTAAAACCAAATTTATGATTCTCTATGATACATTCTCTGAAGACTTCTTTATAATCAACAATGTTCTGCTTTGATTTTAAAGAGCTTCTTTTTTGGCTTCAGGACAATCAATGTATAAAGGAAATAAAAATTATTTAAAGTATAAGAAATTCTGAGTCAAGTTTTAAAGAGGTGTGTTTAAAGGAACCAAGAGGCTGTTGGCACCAGAATGATCCTTAATGCTCCTCAGCTTCCTAATAAAAGAGAATCCGCATTGACCAATTGGATTACCCAGTTTCTGTCGGGACAGGCTAAACTACACTTTGGTAGCAATTCCCAAGTGGCTTGACAGCAAACACACTGCTTTGCTTATGCTTTAGGAACACCATGGTGGGCAGAGTGATCTATTCATCCTGGTCACTCAGGGAACTGTGCCAATTGAGGCTCCATCTCAACTTGTGCTTCCATGATCACTTGGGCAGAGCAAAGAGAAACTGTGGCCCATACACTGGCCTTTAAAAGTGTCACATGGAAGGGACACATACCATTTTTGCTCCTATTTAGTTGGTTAAAGCAGAGCATATTGCCAGGTCTAACTTCAACAGGGCAAGGAACAGCAATTCTTCCACAGGCCAGGAAAGAGAAAGTTGGAATGTTTGTGAACAAAAAAGTATGTACCAAAATTCGTGATTTTACAAAGGACCTTCAGTTTTCAAAATGTATCATCATTATCTACCTGCCAATGACTCCCACAGATGGATTTAAAGTAGAATTTGACCTCCATCAGCTGGGTTCAGATGCTTCTCCGCAGTTGTTTCAGAATGCAAGACTCCTTTGTTTCAAACTGCTACGAGTAAACAGAAGATAAGAGACCAGACCCCACCTCCAGATTATACCCACTCTTGCAGACGCATCAGCAGGCCATGGCAGTATGGGGTGGAAAAGGTGGTGTTTGGGTGGATGTTGGGTCTGTGGAGGCACAGAAGAGGGACACCAAACTGGACTGGGGGCAGGTGTGCTGCATGAGTGGAATCAAGGAGGAAGCGGGGCTTGGGCAAGGTCTTGAAGGGCACATTGCTGTTTGCACATTGGACAGGGGTAGAGAAGATACGAGGTCCCAGAGGAGAGGGATATAGATGAGGTCCTTAGGGTCATGACTGGTCAACAGGATGCCTGCCCTAGAAGGAAATTATTTACACACATGACCTTGAGCAAGCGCCTTCCTCTTTCTGATCTGTCTCCTGCTCTACAAAACAGAGGTTATAATCAAAATCCCATTTTTAAAAATAGAACTTGACAACCTGATTCTAAAATTTGCCAAGAGTATAAATTAGTAGAAATAGCTAAGAGTATTTCAAATAAGAAATACAATAAGATCAACTTGTCTTATCACCAGTAAAATCATTATATTCTAGAGATATAGGAATTAATTTTGCTCAAAACCTGGCATTATCTAAAGACTGGCCAAATCAATTAAAAGAACAAAAAAGAGAGTCCAGAATTCAATCTGTGGTTTTTAGAATTTGTGATAAGTTTCACTTCAAATCAATTAGAAAAGAAGTAACAGTTTAAGAAATAGTTTTGACAATTTAATAACCATTGAAAAAGTTATCTTTTAAATTCACATTATATATAAGAATAATACACAGATTTATTAAATGTTTTAAAAACAAAATTTAGAAAGCATTATAATAAGTATAAAAAATAGTTTTTTTACCTTAAGTTGGAAACATTGTCCTATAGAAGGTTTAAAATTCTTGATACCATAAACAAAAGACTTGCATATTTGTTTATTGCGGCACTATTCACAATAGCAAAGACTTGGAATCAACCCAAATGTCCATCAATGACAGACTGGATTAAGAAAATGTGGCACATATACACCATGGAATACTATGCAGCCATAAAAAAGGATGAGTTTGTGTCCTTTGTAGGGACATGGATGCAGCTGGAAACCATCATTCTTAGCAAACTATCAGAAGAACAGAAAACCAAACACCGCATGTTCTCACTCATAGGTGGGAACTGAACAATGGGATCACTTGGACTCGGGAAGGGGAACATCACACACTGGGGCCTATCATGGGGAAGGGGGAGGGGGGAGGGATTGCACTGGAAGTTATACCTGATGTAAATGAAGAGTTGAGTGCTGACGAGTTGATGGGTGCAGCACAGCAACATGGCACAAGTATACATATGTAACAAACCTGCACGTTATGCACATGTACCCTAGAACTCAAAGTATAATAATAAAAAAAAAAAAAGAAAAAAAAAAAGACTTGCGTATTTGATTATAAAATTTTTAATATCCTTTTTGTGGAAGAAAACATAACAAATTAAAAGAAAAGTGACAGAGTAATAAAAATATAGAAATATATATAATAAATGATCAACAATCAGAATATACAAAAACTACTTGTGATCAATTATTTAAAATATTCATGGAAAAAACAGGTATAGAATATAAGAGGACAATTAATATGACTTATGTAAAAGGCTAATAAACATGAAAAAATTCTCAATCCCAATCGAGGGCAAATACGTGGAAATAAAAAGATACAAGTTGTATTAAATTGGTAAAAAATAAATAAAATTCTAGCTATTTAAATCCAGTGGTGCCTACATTGCTTGAAAATGGATATTCTCATTAAGTGACAAGAAATTCAAACTGGTAGAAACATGGACTATGAAGCCACACCACCTGGGATTGCATCCTATACTGTGTGACTTTAGGCAAGTTACTGAACCTCTCTTTGCTCTATTTTTTCTCATCAATAACAGTGCCTATATTATAGAGCTATTGTGAAATTAAATATGATAATCCATGGGAAATGCTGAGAATAGCACCTGGCCCATCGTGAGTGCTCAGTGATAATTAGCTTTTATTTTCCTACTGTCAGTGAGAGTGTCAAAATTAGAAATGCATATGCAACTTTATTTATAGGAATCTGTCCTATAGAAATAACCACACATAAGCATAAATTTAGATCTATAATAGTAACCATTTCAATATTTGTAATGGTAAAATGTTGAAAACAACATAGATATGAATTAAAAGGAAAGGAGTCACATAAATTTTGCCTACCTCCTTTATATAGTAAGTTGCATTTATTTTATGTAACAGTTTACAAAGAATGAGGCAGACTCCTATTTATTAAGATAGAAGAACCACTAAATATATATTCTTACATAAAAAACAAAATAGAACGGGCATGGTGGCTCATACTTATAATTACAGCACTTTGGGAGGCCAAGGTCTGAGGATTGCTCAAGTCCAGGAGTTCGAGACCAACCTGGGCAACATAGTGAGACTCTCTCTGTACAAAATAAGTAAATAAATAAATAAATAATTACTTGGGAATGGTAGCAAATGCCTGTTGTCCCACTTACTTGGGAGGCTGAGATGAGAGGACCACTTGATTCCAGGAGGATGAGGCTGCAGTGAGCCCTGATTGAATCACTGCACTACAGCCTGGGCAACAGAGCAAGATCCTGCCTCAAACAGTAAAATAAAATAAATACATAAATCAGAGATAAATTTGAATAATACAATCTTTGGAAATAATTTCAAATATATTTGTGAATACATTGAATTTTTTAAAGAAAGAGTCACATCAGACTCTTAATACTAGCTACTTTTGGAGAAGAGGATGTATTGGATGATGGTGAAGGCAGATTTGAATTTTACCTTCACTAGTATGTATTTTTAAAATTTTTTTTTTTAATTTCAATAGGTTTTGGGGAAAAGGTGGTGTTTGGTTACATGAATAAGTTCTTTAGTGGTGATTTCTGAGATTTTGGTGCACCCATCACCTGAGCAGTGTACATTGTAAACAGTGTGTAGTCTTTTATCCTTCGCCACTCCCCACCCTTTCCCCTGAGTCCCCGAAGTCCAATGTATCATTCTTATGCCTTGGTGTCTCATAGCTTAACTCCCACATATGAGTGAGAACATTTGATGTTTGATTTTCCATTCCTGACTTATTTAGAATAAGAGTCCCCAGTTCCATCCAGGTTGCTGTGAATGCTATTGTTTTGTTCCTTTTTATGGCTGAGTAGTATTTCATAGTAGCTATACACACACACACACACACACACACACACACACACAATGTGATGCATATACATCACTCATTGATTAATGGGCATTTGGGCTGGTTCCATATTTTTGCAATTGCAAATTGTGCTGTTATAAACTTATGTGTGCCAGTATCTTTTTTGTATAACGACTTCTTTTCCTTTGGGTAGGTGATACCTAGTAGTGGTATTGCTGGCTCAAATGGTAGATCTACTTTCAGTTCTTTAAGGAATCTCCACACTGTTTTCCATAGCGGTTGTATTAGTTTTCATTCCCATCAGCAGTGTAAAAGTGTTCTCTTTTCACCACATCCATGCCAACATCTATTATTTTTTTATTTTTTTGATGACGGCCATTCTTGCAGGAGGGAGGTGGTATTGCATTGTGGATTTGATTTCCATTTCCCTGATAATTAGTGATGTTGAGCATTTTTCCATATGCTGTTGGCCATTTGATTATCTTCTTTTGAGAATTGTCTGTTTATGTTCTTCACCACTTTTTGATTTTTTTTCTTGATGATTTGTTTGAGTTCTTTATAGATTCTGAATATTAGTCCTTTGTTGGATGTATGGATTGTGAAGATTTTCTCTCACTGTGTGGATTGTCTGTTAACTCTGCTGATTATTTCTTTTACTGTGCAGAAGCTTTTCAGTTTAATTAAATGGTTTACATTTGTTTTTGTTGCATTTGCTTTTGGGTTCTTGGTCATGAAGTCTTTACCTAAGCCAAAGTCTAGAAGGGTTTTTCAGATGATATCTTCTATAATCTTTATGTTTTCAGGTCTTAGATCTAAGTCTTTGATCCATCTTGAGTTGATTTTTGTACAAGGTGAGAGATGAGGATTCAATTTCATTCTTCTACATGTGGCTTGCCAATTATCCCAGCACCATTTGTTAAACAGGGTATCCTTTCCCCACTTTATGTTTTGTTTTCTTTGTTGAAAATCAATTGGCTGTAAGTATTTGGCTTTTTTCCTGGGTTCTCTGTTCCGTTTCATTGATCTATGTACCTATTTTATACTAGTACCATGCTGTTTCAGTGACTATGGCCTTATGGTATGGTTTGAAGTCGGGTAATGTGATGCCTCCAGATTTATTCTTTTTGCTTAGTCTTGCTTTGGCTATGCGGGATCTTTTTTCATTCCATATGAATTTTAGGATTGTTTTTTCTAGTTCCATGAAGAATGATGGTGGTATTTTGATGGGAATTGCATTGGATATGTAGATTGCTTTTGGCAGTATGGTCATTTTCACAATATTGATTCTACCTATCCATGAGCCTGGGATGTGTTTCCATTTGTTTGTGTCGTCTATGATTTCTTTCAGCAGTGTTTTGTAGTTTTCCTTATAGAAGTCTATTAGGTTAGGTTTGGTTAGGTTTATTCTCAAGTATTTTCTTTCTTTTTTTGTTGTTGTTGAAGCTATTGTGAAAGGGGTTGAGTTCTTGATTTGATTCTTAGCTTGGTTGCTGCTGGTGTATAACAGAACTACTGATTTGTGTATATTAATTTTGTATCCTGAAACGTTGCTGAATTCATTTACCGGTTCTTGGAGCCTTTTGGATGAGTCTTTAGGGGTTTCTAGGTACATGATCATATCATTAGCAAACAGTGACAGTTTCACTTCCTCTTTACTTATTTGGTTGCCCTTTATTTCTCTCTTTTGTCTGATTGCTTTGACTAGGACTTCCCATACTTTGTTGAATAGAAGTGTTGGAAGTGGGTATCCTTGTTTTGTTTCAGTTTTCACAGGGAATTTTTTCAACTTTTTCCCATTCGGTATAATGTTGGCTGTGTGTTTGTCATAGATGGCTTTCATTACCTTAAGGTATGTCCCTTCAGTGCTAATTTTGCTGAGAGTTTTAATCATAAAGGGATGCTGGATTTTGTCAAACACCTTTTCATCATCTATTGAGATGATCATGGGATTTCTGTTTTTAATTCTGTTTATGTGGTTTATCGTATGTTTTATTGACTTACGTATGTTAAACTGTCCCTTCATTCCTGGTATTAAACCCACTTGATCATGGTGGATTATCTTTTTGATATGCTGTTGGATTCAATTCACTAGTAATTTTGTCTCTATTTT